TTGCTTTTGCTCTATCCAGGGCTACTGTGGGTATTAGGGAGGTGAACCAGCAGACAGGAAATCTTTGTCCTCTCTCTCTGTCTCTTTGTCTCTCTGTCTTCAGTGGAAGCACTCAGGACATTGACATTCTTGATTGAGGGTGTGCAGTTGGATGATATAGTCCTGTCAATCACTGAAGCCAGTGCTAAGGGGGAACGTCCACCAGATGTTTTGGTGGAACAGCCTTTGTTCGCCTTGGTTCTGCGTGTGTGAGGGGCTGTTTTCTTTCTTTTTTTTTTTTTAAGATTTATTTATTTTTATTACAAAGTCAGATATACAGAGAGGAGGAGAGACAGAGAGGAAGATCTTCCGTCCAATGATTCACTCCCCAAGTGAGCACAACAGCCGGTGCTGTGCCAATCTGAAGCCAGGAGCCAGGAACCTCCTCCAGGTCTCCCACACGGGTGCAGGGTCCCAAGGCTTTGGGCCGTCTTTGACTGCTTTCCCAGGCCACAAGCAGGGAGCTGGATGGGAAGTGGAGCTGCCGGGATTAGAACCGGCGCCCATATGGGATCCCGGCACATTCAAGGCGAGGAGTTTAGTTGCCAGGCCGCGTGCCAGGCTTAAGGAGGGCTGTTACTTGGGGAGCATCTATATGAGTTTTAATGTGGGATGTTTGAAGCTGTTACCTAAGCAGAGGGCAGAGAACTAAGTTAGGGTTTAGTTCTTATTCCAAGAAGGCATAATCTTGCTTGGATGGAATAGCATTCTCCAAGAGTGGGGAGTGGGCTGCTGTTGGCTGCGGTAGAACACGCATTGGCATTTTAATTTTTAACAGTGGATAATCACTGAATGTTTGACACACTAAAACCATGATTTCATGTAAACCACGACTTCATGTGTATTATTGCTTAAGAGTGCAGCGATATATAATTTTCATAAAGTTGTTCTAACACAAAACTAAGGACAAGTGCGCAGGTGCCACAAAAATGTGACGAACCTGAGCACGGGGGCCTGTGGGTGACTGCCGTGGGTGATACGTATCTAGAGAACTGGGTGTGTTTGTTCAAACTCGCCGCTCACTGCCCGCTACCCTATGGACACATGGCAAGGAGACAGAGTTGCATAGGCAATGCTTTGAAAATGCATGCGATGCATTCAGTTTCAGCAAGATGGTGTTTCCTGCCAGAAACCAACCATTTCTTTTTGAACTCCAAGGAAAAAAACTCGTGTTTGTTCGGTGCAGCACGCATGCGACAGGCATACTGGCTGCGCCGCACAGTTTCACTCCAGATCGCCACACACGGTGGGAATGTGAGGCAGGCACGAGCCGGGGCTGAGTCAGGCCCCGACCAGCGTGCACAGCTTCACCGTGTCTTCAAGAACCGCACCCCCCCCCCCCCCCGGGGGCTGCTGTTAAGCAATCCGGTGGCTATTGTCTTCCCTGAGCTGAATGTAACATCTCACATCAAATTCACTGGCTTGGCCAAGTCCCAAACGCTATGACGCAAAAGTTGACAAAAGAGCAAAGGAAAGAGTATTAAAAGTGGTACACTTTGCTACTCTGTTGTATCTGTACGTGGGGCTCAGGCCGTATTATTTATAGATATCTATTAATACATAGTCAAGAGATACAGAAAAGAAACACATAAAAAAGCCAGCTTTATCAAATAGTTTGCGGCAACAACAGCAATAAGGAGCTGTTCTTCCAAGGGAAGAAGTCATCTTCTTTCTCGCATCCCTCCTTGCCCATCCCCAGCCTGCAGGTGGCTTTTCTGAGGACCTAGGGCTGCAAAGATGAGTCTGAGGGCTGGGGTTGCCCGGACACCTACAAGGCCATCAAACTAGCCCACTATTTCTCTGCCCAGGTCTTTGTATCTCTGTTTTTCCCACTCCCTTCTCCAGCGAGTGTCTGAAGCACAGGAAGGCTGGGAGCCCCCAGCTGGTAAAATGGGTTTGTCGGGGTTCTGCCCCCTCCCCTTGATTTTTGGGGAAACTGGCTGCCTGGCAAGTGCGACAGCTGCCTTCTCCCAGCTTGCTCAGGATTTGTTATTCCTCCACAAGGAGGGAAAGGAGGCTGCAGCCTCGGGGTCCAGTGGTTGGAGAGGAGGGGAGAGAGAGGGAGAGAGAGAGAGAGAGAGAGAGAGAGAGGCAGACCAGGCCCTTCCTGCCCCTCTGCCCCAAAGAGACACATGGCCACGGGAGCACACATGCCACCGGGGGGTGGGGGGGAGGCACAATTCCTTCTTGTGCTCATGGCTCCCCCTTCTGCCCTCCCCCCACTGCCACTTCGACCCGTCCTCCCCAACCAGGTGTGTGAAATCCTGCCCGTTTCACAAACACTTGGCGTCCACTGAAGCTGCGGAGGGCCCAGCTGGGTGTGGGTGGTTGCCCACATTCTGTGAGGTTTAATTCAAATACACTCGGGGGATGATGGTACAATGAGGAGAGGGGAGTCCCGCCTGGCCAGCTGGTGGGAAACCCTTTGGGCAGCTCTCGCGCTGCTGGCACCTGCAGGAGTGCGATGGGGCGGGGAGAGGGGCGTCCAAGCAGGAGGAAGGCTCCAATTGTGTGTGTCAGGGGGCCACTGGAGTTGGTTTTCAGGGGTACCAGGGTTTGGTCAAAGTTACTTGGTAGTTGGGCCTGGTGTGATAGCCTAGTGGCTAAAGTCCTCTCCTTGTGCACGGGAATTCCACATAGGTGCTGGTTCGTTCACTGCAGCCATTGTGGACCACTTGGGGAGTGAAGCTGTTTCTCTTTCTCTCTGTAAAGCTGACTTTCCAATAAAAATAAATAAAATCTTAATTTTACTCAGCCTCCCTCTGCAAGTCCCCAGTCCAGCCCAGGCCGGCAGGGGCAGCTGCAGGGGCCATCTCCCAGGCCCTCAGGGCTAAGCTGAGGTCAGCTTCCTGTGAAGGCGTGGAGTCCCCTCCCAGCCCTTCCCAGCAGGGGTGGCCATGACTTTCAAGGGGGAGCCCAGCTGGTTAGGAGGCTGGTGCGATTGCCAAGGAGGGCCTGAGGGCTGCGATCAAACCTGTGTTTCTCTCCCCTGGGAGGACTCAGAAATGACCCCTTGCTGTCACCCCTGGGGACACTGGAGGGGATGGGAGGAGGTGTGCTCCCAGGTTCAGTTCCCCCCCGCCCCCAGGGCAGGGGCAGAAGCTGGCTTAATTTCTCTCTCTGCCCCCTTCACTCCCTGCAGCAGCAAGAGGTCGTTTTTTCTCCTTGGCACCTTGGCGTCATTCCCCACCCCCTGTGCTTATGTGCCAAGTGCCTCAGTTTTCTCACCCGGAGAATGGGGCTGCTTGAAGAACACCAACGACGGCCCGTTTTGTTTGGCTTTGTTTTGTTTGCTTTCTCTCACGGTGGTGGCATGTTGTAACCTGCGCCCTTCTGTCTGTCCCGTGGGCACCTCCGGGGCTATGTCAAGGTTCAACAGACAGGAAATTGCTTTGAAAATGTCAACACCTTATTCAATGAGAGGCATTAGCGGAGCCCTTATTCAGCACGCGTATTTCCCCACTGCCTGATGCTATCCACCTCATCCTTGTGGCTGTGGCTGAGGGAGGAAGCTGGGGGAGTGATGGGTGGGGGAGGACAAGACTCAGAAACGAGGTCCCCGTGGGAGCCACGGTGGTGGTGGTGGTGGGGGGTGTCCGGAGATGCATGCTCCTTCCCTGGGCTGAGCGTTCTGCCCTGCCCTCCCTCCGTCCCCGTAGCAGGTTGGGGTCGGAACAGCCAAGGAAAAATCAGTTTTTGTCCCATAATGAAGCAGCGGCCCTCGCGGCTCTTTCCCGCCCCCTGGCGTCCCTCTGTGCCATTTTCCTAAGAGCTGCGCTGCTGCACCTTGAGGCAGAAGAGGACTTCTGGACTTTTACAGGAGTGGTAATAAAAAACAAAACAAAACGGGGAAAAAAAAAAAAAACACTTAGCTTTGATTTCTTTTAAGCTCCCCTTCCTTACCAATGGCTCCTCGATCTTCCTCACCGTTGACGCACAAGAACTTTATCGAAAAGGTCTTTGGGAAGAAGGGGCTTGAGGGCAGAAGACAAAAAAGCACCTGGCACAGCCAGAGTCATTGGACAGGGGCCAGTGGCAGCGGGCAGTGGGCAGGGGCAGTGGGCAGTGGGCAGGGGCAGTGGCAGCGGGCAGGGGGCAGGGGGCAGGGGCAGGGGCAGGGGGCAGGGGCAGCGGGCAGGGGGCGGAGGAGGCAACAAGGAGAGCGTCCCCGTGTTTGTGGGAGTCTAAGAAAGCCAAGAGACATAAAAGGGAAAATGAAGTGAACAACAATGAGAGAGAGAGAGAAAAAAAAAAAAATCTCCCTGCACACAACAATACAATCTATTTAAACCGTGGCTCATACTTTTCATACCAATCCTATGACTTTTTCTGTAGTGCCTCTTCTGATTCTTGGACTCTGGGGCTGGCAGCTTGCAAAAAGGGGAAGCAGACGGCAGCGCCGCACGGGCAGGCTTAGCAAAGGTCTCCAATGGGTATTTTCCTTCTCTGAGCCCGCCCCCGAATTGTCAGACGGCGGGCGTCTGCCTCTGAAGTTGCACTGATTTCCTCTCGGGTCCGGCCTTATCTCCGGCTGCACGTTGCCTGTTGGTGACTAATAACACAATAAGATTGTCTGGGGGCTGGAATAAAGTTGGAGCTGTTTACCCCCACTCTATAGGGGTTCAATATAAAAAGGCGGCCGCGAGCTGTCCCAGCCAGACGCGCCTCTGCAGCCGCGCCGCGTCCCCGGCTCCTCGCTGCGCCCCCGCGCCCCGCGTGCGCCCCGCGCCCCGCCGTCTGCGCCCCGCTCCCGCACCGGGCCCTTCGCTCGCCACCGGTGGACCCTTCCTCGGGCCGCAGCTGGACTTACGGAGACCCGAACAACCAGCAAGCGCGTGGAAGGCGCTGACGCTGGTTTTCTTTTCTTTTTTTTTTTTTCCTTCGATCAGTTTGCAGAAGATTTTTTTTTCTCTTTTTCTTTCTTTTTCCTTTTTCTTTCTTTTTTGGAACCCTTTTCCAGAATGGATTATTTCTCCGTGATTTTCTTTCTACTGTTGCTGGCTTGCCAAGGAGCTCCAGAAGCAGGTAGGCACGCGGATTTGCAAACCTCCGCCAAGGTTCCTGCCTGCTTGGTCGCGGCATGCGCTGCTTCTCGCTTCTGTTTTCCTCCCCTTATTTTTATTGCTGCAACTCAGATAGCAAGTGTCTGGCAAGGGCTGCTCGAAACTCCCTGAGTGTTCTAGCGAACAGAAAAGAAAATTCCTCCGCGGAATACAGCATAGCATTAAAAACGGCTTCTCATTTCTAAGTTGCTATTGCATAGTGCATTTCCTTGCTTCTCCCCCCCCCCTTTTTTTTTAAATAAGACTTTAAAAAGAGTATGGACCAGACATAATGTGGTCAAGTGTGTCTTTGCCACATAGGTGCTCATGCGGGCACCTAGAGTAAATATGAACTTATGCCCCATTCACTGTTTTAACTGCGATAACGTGTGCTGTATTTAAACATTCCAGCACGAAGCCAAGGAATTTTATTCCAGCCATTCAAGCAATATCTAAGCAGTAAAAAGCTGCTTACTGAACAACGGTGTGTTGAGTAAGCACCCTCCCCGCCCCCCACGCAGTTTCGGGGGTGAAGCAGATGTTTTCCTTAAACTTTGTCATTATTGACTTTTGTTTCCTTGTGACAGGTTTTTGGCACTCAAAACAGTGTGAGCTCTATGTGCAATTATGCTCACCTGTCCTGGGACCGTTCTCGGCAGTTTAAGGACTGTGGCAGCCTAAGGGCCTCCTGCCTCTGCTGCTGCTCCCTTCCCTCCCCGCTCCGCATTTTGTTAGGGTCACTGCACTTTTTTTTTTTTTTTTTAATTTGAGGAGGGGGTGTTTTATTTATGACCCTGGTTAAAGGGAAAAGATGTCAAAGGGATGGACATGTCCAGAATTGGGCCAGAAAAATCGCTTGGATGAATTGCCGATGGAGAGGGGGTGGCTGCGGAGCCCCACACAAGCGCCCGGGTGGGTGGGCAGGCAGTCCCGGGTGGGTGGGCAGTCCCGCAGCCTCTAGCGCGGATTCTGAGTTCAGGAGCAACAGCGCTTGGGGCAGGAAGCTTCTCAGCCGAGTTCGCTGGATTTTGCAGCTGCCTGCTTCGCTTGCATCTTTTGAAACCTTTGCCTCCACCCTCGCCCCCCTCGTTCCCGTATCCCTTCCCCACACGCTATTGCCCGGTAGTTTCCAGAGGCGTGGATGCCACCTGCGCGAGCCCAGCCCCTACACAAGCCACGAATGAATTCGCTTATCCTTGGGTGGGGAAGCAGCTAGCAATAAGCAGTACGATTTATTGATTCTCAGTCATCAGTCCATTTTAAGCCATTGCGGGCTGTGCCATCCCACCAAGATCCAAGGGAAGGCCAGCCCTGCCCCAGCTGGCAGGGTCGCCTTGCAGGCTGCTGCAAGGTGTATGTCTCTTCTGCATTTGTGTCATCTCAGAATGGAGAAGCCAGCACGCGCTGGAGTGAAGTCATGTTAAAGAAGGGGGAAAAAAAAAGTGGAGAGCTCTCTTTGCCACCCTTGTTGCAAAGCGCAGGTGCTGGGCATCCCCGGTGTGTAACAGCTCATCTAGATCTGGTGTCAGTCCTGGGAACCCCGTGTGGCTCTAGAAGACTCCCCTGGAGTCCTGGAGCCCCTGGAGGACTCCCCCGGGCCCCTGGAGGACTCCCCTGCTCATCCGCTACTTCTCTTCACAGTGGCCTTGGGCACCGAGGAGCTCAGCACAGGAGCTGAAAACCCTGGGGCCAAGCCCCCTTCCAGTGCACCCTGGCGGCCTCACCGCTCTAAGCGCTGCTCCTGCTCCTCTCTGATGGACAAGGAGTGTGTCTACTTCTGCCATCTGGACATCATCTGGGTCAACACTCCCGGGTGAGTCTCTAGAGGGCGTCTGACTCCAGCGGCTCCTTAGCTCGACAGGAACACTTCCCAGGCATTGTGAAGGGGGCCTTCCGTGCCCCGGGGGAGGGTCTTCTGAGACTCTGTGACAGGAGCCTCCTTAAGAAATGGGGCAGAAGGTATCTTGGATCGGTGGAGAGGTGTCTCCTTACTGAATTTTTTAAGCAGAAGTTTTAAATGAGGGGGTTTAGAGGAAGCTCTGGAAGGCTGGTAGGGAAGGCTCGGGGTGCTGGGTGGCTTGGTCCAATCTGACAAGGGCAGAAAGGCACCCCAAGGTGGGATCCGGTCCCTTGCCTTTCCTCCCTAGGGGAGTCGGGCCTCGGATGGGGAGGCCACCTGTGCAGACAGGGGGCGGAGGTAGAGCTAGGATCAAAGTCTGGAGTCTGTCACCTTATTATTCCCTGGAAAAGCTTGTGTCCAGGCAGCAGTGGACACACAGGTTATGGGTTCCTTTCCCACCCAACTCCTTCCACAAACGCCCCCTGCGGATGTGGTCTTGAACAGAAATGCTTCGATGGGTCTGCCGTGTCCCATTTTGTCAAAGAACAACCCAAATCCAAATTCAATCTGATCAGATCTGAGAGAGCCAACCCCCTAAGAGCCCTGACTTCAATGAAATAATATATCACTAGGGACTTAGCTTGTTCTTATAAGGGAGAATCCCAGGAGTCACCTTAGAAAGTACCGGAAAGCGAAATGTTGTTAGGAAATGAGATAGAGTCTCATCGACTTAGATTTGGGTCTTCCTTCTGGTTGGGCACAGGAGAAGGATGTGTGTTCTTAACTGTGGCCCCACTCTACTGTGTGATGAGCTCTGTGTGAGCCTGAAGGAATATGCTGACCCTGAAGAATGTGACATTTTAAAGACTATTCATGATGCTAACATATTTTATTCTTCTCTTGCCATAACAGGCACATCGTCCCGTATGGCCTTGGAAGCCCATCCAGGTCCAAGCGCTCCTTGAAGGATTTATTTCCTACCAGGGCAGCCTACCACGAGAACAGATGCCAGTGCGCTAGCCAAAGAGACAAGAAGTGCTGGACTTTTTGCCAAGCAGGAAAAGAACTCAGGTGAGTCGGGAGCAGGCACGCCTTAGCTTTCCAATCCAGGTTCTCACCTCCTGGCCTCTTTCCTGGCGGGAGACTGTCTCCTTGTCTGAGAAGAGACAGCGAGAGTACTAGGTGTTGAGGGAAGGTGAAGCTGAGGATTCCATTGCTCAAAAGTGCTTTTTGCTGGGTGTTTTAGCAGAGCCCAGGACACCGTGGAGAAAATCAGGGATGACCATAAGAAAGGAAAAGACTGTGCCACGCTTGGAAGGAAATGTATATTTCAGAAGTTGGTGGAAGGAAGAAAAATAAGAAGGTGAGTGGCTTGGACTTGGGCATCGTGGCCTTTCTCCCCCCAAAACTGCTGAGCCAGGAGTCAGAAGGCCTTCGAAATAACCACAAAATGGATCTTGATATTCAGTCGATAGAAGAAAGCAGAGGAGTCCCTGTGGGACATTCTCATGTTGTTCCTGGAACTTGGGCATGAACCCTCAGTCAACATGTGAGGGACGCCTCTGTTCCGTGAGCCCATTTGGATGTGGCCTCTTGGGCTCAACGTGTTTTGTTCTTTCCTCGTGCAGTCAGAAATTCCTTCAGAGAGGGGACAGTCAAAAACAAAAACACAAACACACAAGAACGAACCTAGAGTGCCTTACATAATGGAAGGTCTTTGAAAACCAGCAGTTATTGAAATAGCCAAAGGGAAAATGAAGTCATTAGGCAAGGCTGGTGAGAGTTCAGAACATTCCGTCTTTCGGGTTTATTTATTAATTTTTTTTTTTAATTTGGGGAATGCATTTGATGGTGAGCCCATGTCATTCCAGAGACTCTCTGGGCTTATAGTCAGCCTCAGGTGGGACAGGGACCGGCTGTGTTAGGTGCCACCGTGGGGATGCTACAAACAGCTCCACCATAAACTTTTGAAAGGAGGAATTCCATGCTCTGATCTGTCATATGTTCCACATTTCCTACCTGCATCTATGGGAATTGTGCCTAGAAACCTGGGAGTGAAGCGTTGCATACCCCGAGTGTCCCAAGCCCAGGCTTGGTGCTAACAGGTGGCTTCTGAGTGGTTTTCTGCCATGTTGTGGGACAGCCTCGGCCAGCATCCTTTTGCACCTGCTGGCTACCCTTCCACGTTTGTGATCTCAGGTCACTGGTTCTCCCATGAATCAGTTTTGTACTAGATCTGGAAACTACTGCTTTTATGTATTATGTCAGTTATTACATCAACATTGTATTTCTTAGTTCTTCCAGAAAAAAAAAAATTGTGGGAAAAAACTCCCCTCCCCCCGTTTTTTTAACACTTGGATGAGGTGTTAGCTTTGGGCCTACCTGTATGCCTCCTCTCTGTTTTCAATGATGTTTTCCACATTTGACTTCTCATGTTGCTAAGGAGATGTGGATGGCTAGTTGAAACCTGTGCTGACTGCGTCCACACAGAATTCCATGGCTGTTGAGGTTGGGATTGCGCACAGAGAAAGCTAGAACAGCTTTATGGTTTATTTTCAAGTTGCATTTGGGGTTCACTTCCTCTTAGACGTAACCACATGACCCTCACCAGCTCTGTTCAAAGCCTAAGGGGCAGGCTTTGCTTTCACAATAGTAATAGGTTACCCTTTGTGATTAAAAAAAAAAAAAAGTTCAGGGTCAGATTTCTGTTTGTGTCAGGGTCTGATGTCAGACGTTTCTTTGGTGAGAAGTGAATTCCAAGTAACGTGTGTTTTCTCTTGTCTCGGTGCGTAGGTTGGAGGCCATCAGCAATAGCGTCAAGACATCCTTCCATGTTGCCAAGCTGAAAGCTCAACTCTACCGGCAGCAGAAAGTCACCCACAACCGAACCCATTGATGACCGACTTCCTGGGCCCCTCTGAGGCCAGCACCTCCTGGAGAGCCACGTGGCTGACTCTGCACTTGCTTTCTCTCTCTCTACACTCACTGGCTGGAATCAGAGCTAGCAAAGTCTCCATGCCAGACCGCTTCTTCTTGCCAGACTGGCAGAGGATCGGCGCCCTTGCTCTGAACATTCCGAGACTGGCTGAAGAATCTCCCCTTCCTTCGGCGGGAACCGCTCTGGTCTCTCGGGGACAGTAGACCTGTCGGAAGGCACAGAGACACAGTGACGTTGAAGTTGGTGTGGTGTTCCTCTAGGAGGAAGCCCAGGCAGTGGGAGGGTGGCATTTCTGCAGAAGGTCCTAAGGGAGTGAGTGTGTGTGTGTGTGTGTGTGTGTGTGTGTCAGGCACCTGACACATTTCAGGGAGAACCACCAAAGTCCACCCAAAGACTGACGAAGGAATGCACAAATTGAAAACACGCTCAAATGGACATTCAACTGAAAAAAAAAAAGACTTTGTAATTTTTTTTTTTTGATTCATAAAATGCCAAACTAAAACTGTTACTACTGTCAAGCAGGATGTTTCATGACTATGAATCTACCTCACCTCTATTGCACTCAAGATCGGCTCCCCAAAGTCCTGCCCTCTTCCCCAGCCCCACCTCTAGGCTGTTCCGCTCCCGCTGGCCAGTCACTGGGAGCTTTTCCATTCTCATGGCCATCCACTAGCTTCCACCCATCAGAAAAAGAAAAAAAATATGGATTCAGGCGATTCCCTTACCTAGATCTAAAAAAAAAAAAAAGATGTAGGGTTGTTGATGAAAGATACTGAAAAGTACATGTTGGTTATGCTTTAAAGCAGTAAAACTCTTTTCCTTTATATAATCGGGTAATGGAAGAGGTTGGATTGAATTTTGATGTACTTATTTTTTTATAGATATTTATATTGGAACAATTTATTCCTTATATTTACCATGTTAAATATGTCTGGGCAGGCCATATTGGTCCATGTATTTTTTAAATGTATTTCTGAATGAAATTGAGAAAATGCTTTGTTTTTGCCTGTCAAGGTAATGACGTTAGAAAATAAAATATTTGTGTCCCTACTATATTCTGATGTTTGAATCATTTCTGCAATTTCGTTAAGGAGTGGAACGAAGTGCTAAGAAACAGCTCCAAAGGGCTTCGTACAGATGCGACAGAAGGACCATTCTAGGTCAACCAAAACCAACCAAACAGACAAAGTCATTAATGTAGATGATTAATGATTAATGATATGCAAGCAGCCCCACAGAAGCTGCTTTTACTCAGTGCTGCAGCTTGGCTGCTGTTAGAATGGGGCCCGTGTGCTCTGTGCAAGCAGCGGTTCCCAGGGGTGTCTTATCTGCTACTCGGATAAAAACAGTTTCGTCTATTAAAGAACACTGCATACCCCCCCCCCCCCCGTGCCTTTGGGATAGCCCAGGGCTGGACACTCACGCATGCAGATTCGAGATGCCAGGTGTTAATTTCCGGTTGCCTGCTTCGTGGCAGTCTCATTCTTTCCCCCTTTATCACAATATTGGGAAGGGGCCTTGTGGCAGAGAAGCCCTTGTGAGTTGGAGCTTGATCGGTCAGTAAGAATATCCAATGGTCTTTCCCTGGGAATACCTAAGAGGATGCCTGGCATTCCGCAAATACAATCTCAGGATGATCACTACTGTCTCAAACAGTCTCAAACATCAGAAGGAAGTCAAGTGTCAGCCCGTGGTGAGGGCCCATGGCCAGGGCTGGGGGTCCACCCTTACTGGCATTCTTTCCCATCTATTACATTTGTTTTTAAAGACACAGCTTACTCTCTGTGGGAATTAGCCTAGAAATCTTCCCAAAAAATTACCCAGTTTTGTCCACACCATCGGGGGACCAGGCCCGAACTTGGCCACTACTGAAGCCTGGGCAAACTCCTCAGTTCCCTGGCATTGTGAGTTTTCTCAGGTGTTTAAGGGAAGAGTGAGGAAGTTTCTCAAACAGCTCCATAGGGAGCGTGAAATTCCAGGAAGATGTCGAGGTGATACAGAAATATGAAGCTGTGAGCTGTGAGGCCACGGGGGTGACGTGGTGACAGCGGGTTGGGTGAGCCTGCTGTCTCATAGTTCGCAATCAGACTGAGAGCAGAGTTTGTCGTTTTCTCTGCCCACTCCTACTCATCCTGCCGCAGTGACTTTGGGCATGAAGATTAGCAGGGGCATGCATTCGTGGTCCCCAGGATTGGTATCCTCAAAAGTGTAGGGAAAAGTCCCAGGAGTGCCTGAGGCCCATGGGCACGAGGGGTGAGCTGCTGGGGTGGTCTCCACATGCCCTGTCACCTTCTGGCAAACTCGTGGCATCTGCAGACCCACGTAGAGCAGCTTTCTCTCTTCAGGCCAACAAGCAGCGGGGCTTTCATTTTGAAATTCTGAGGACTAGTGGAACTTGGGTGGGGTGGGCGTGACCTTTGGTGTGAAGAGAGAACCCCCCTCCAGGTGAGTACTCCATGTGTCTTCTGTAAGTTGCTTCTTTAAAAAAAACCAAAACAACAACAACAGCAACAACCAAAAGCCATTTATTTATTTCTATTGGAAAGGTAAATTTACAGAGAGAAGGAGGGATAGAAAGATCTTCCATCTATTGGCTCACTCTCCAATGGCCATAATGGTCCGAGCTGAACCAATCTGAAGCCAGGAGCCAGGAGCTTCTTCCATGTCGCCAATGAAAGTGCAGGGTCCCAAGGCTTTGGGTCATCCTCGACTGCTTTTGCACAAGGCCACAAGCAGAGAGCTGGATAGAAACTGGAGCAGCCAGGACACAAACCGTTGCCCATATGGGATCCGCTGGAGCTTGGAAGTGGAGGATGAGCCATTTGAGCCATCAGGCCCAGCTTGGCTTCTTTCGCAGCTTGATTGAACCTCTGCCTCTGATCTGACCTGTGTGTTCCTGAAACACAACTACATTACATCATCATGAGATATAGTTTCCCAGGAAGCCTCCTGCTAACAGTGGGAAAGGGCAGACCAAAGTCAAGAGAGGAAGCTACCCTGAGGACGTGCGGTGAGCTGGGCCATCCTGGAGCCTGGTGGATGGTGTTCCAGACACACCTGTGGTTTGGCAGGGTCAGACGCCTCAGCACGCAGTGGAGGGTCCTGGGTGCAAAGAGAAAATCCCTGCCACAAACCTCTGCTTGATGGCCTCCCATTGCCTTAAGGCGAAAGAAGCCTCGGGAAGGAAAAATGGATATGAAGAGATGTATACAATTTATCATTGTTTTATTTTTCCTTTAAGAGAGAGAAAGAGAGAGAGAAATCTTTCATCTTCTGAATTGCTTGCCAAATGGCTGCAACAGCCACAGCTGAGCCAAGTCACAGCCAGGAGACAGGGGCTTCTCCCAGGTCTCCCATGTGGGCACAGGGGACCAAGGACTTGGACTGTCTTCTGCCGCTTCCCAGGGGGCATTGCCAAGGAGCTGGGTCAGAAGTGGAGCAGCTGGGACTTGAACTGGTACCCATATGAAATGCCAGTATGGTGGGTGGTAATTCTGTCTCTGTCTGGTCAGAACACTGGCCCCATCATAACCTTTGCGAATACTTCAGCGGTAATTTCAATGAACATGAAACTGTGAAGTACTTGAAAGTGATTCGTGTCATTTTCTCATCAAAAGGAAAAAAAAAACTATCTTCAGTGACCATTCTCTGCTTATAGAATGAAATTATGCTATCTACAAGGTAAGGGTGTACAAGGAACGTTTGGGAAGAATGAGACCTCAGAGAAAATACTGAATACACTACATGTTTAAACTTTTTCATTCCGAGTATCTTTAAACAAATCCAATTGAAACCAATATACCTGTCATTCCGTCTCAACGGTTGTCAGGTTCTGATTGGTACTATTTTCTCTCCATCACATCCTGCCCTCCCCAAGTGGATTTCTTTGAAGCCAGTCCCAGCCGCCATTAGCATCTCATCTGTAAATATTTCAGCGTGAATATAATGCATCGGATACATTTTGCGCAGTGGGGTAAACTGTGAAATAGTCCATTGGATCTGTAGGTCTAGAACTTAGAACAAGTGAACCACAAATGGTCAGTAACAATGGAGGTGGATGCATGTACAGAGAGCTGTGAGCTCTGTGTGTACCAACTGATGTCTTCCTTCCTGTTCCTCCCCATAAGACAAGCACTTTCATTTACCCTATTTTGTAGATGAAGAAACTTAATGAGAGATGCAACAGCGATTTGTCCAAGACCAGGTGGCTGCTTAGTATAAACCACACAGTGTTATTTACTAAGCTTTTTAAAAAAAATTGTTATTATTAAGAACACAAAATCAGGAGCTGGCATTGTGGCACAGCAGTTCAACCTGCCACCTGTGATGCCACTATCCCTTAGGGACAGCGATTCGCATCCTGGCTGCTTCACTTTTCACTCAGCTCCCTGCAAGTACACCTGGGAAAGCAGCAGAGGATTGCCCAAGTTTACTGACCCCTGCACCCATGCAGGAGACCTGGATGAAGGGCCTGGCTTCGGTGTCTCCAACCTCAGCTGGCCACCGGGGACTATACCAGCAGATGGAACATCTTTCTGTCTTTTCATCTCTCTGTAACTCTTTCATACGAATAAATCATTAATTTTTTTAAAAAAAAGAGCACAAAGTGATAAAGGCTACACAATGGGATAATCAAGTCTGAGGAGGGTGAAAAAATGACAGTGATCTATCCTGCCTGAAGGGCAGGGAGAAGAGAGATGGTTTCTTAGGAAGAAACAATGAGTAATGAGCCTTGTGCCCCTAACTAAACATGGTATCACTCTCAAAAGCTTTGAACCTTAAGCAAAGTTATGGAGAAGTCTCCCAGTAAAATATTTTTGTCTGCAGATGACTTGATAAGGAGAACATAGCCTAACATGCTCACCTGATTGACTCACGGGAAAGGTAAACAGATATCTTGATCATTAAGAGGTGATTTATCCTGCTAAAATTCAGGAAGTATAATTACTTAAATGATA